CTCCTCTTTAGTCACCCTAAGTCATACTTGTGCAATGCATGCATAGCACCCCATAATACAATACATGCTAAGTACTACCTTTAGGTCCTCATACTAACACTTCTCGGTTTGGAACCTAGTTCCTCTCTTAACTTTAGAACACTATGAGGTACTTCATTAAGCACATCTTAGTTCATATATATATACTTTAGGACACTATGATATACTTCTCAAGAATGTCTTAGTTCATAGGATATGGAGATTGCTACTAAGAATCTTAACTCAACTATGTGAAGGTTCCCCTCTCATGAGACCTAACTTTGGGAAAACTCACACTCTACTATGTAAGAGTTCCCTTTTTTTCTTGGATAGTCCTCACATCAACTAGGTGTGGCTCTCCTTTCTTCTTGGAGTCCGGACCCTATCTTGTGTGACACTCCATCTCATTGTCAATATCCACTTGGAGCCGAGCATACACCCCAAGGTTTACTTGTTAAGCCTTGCTCAACACTCATCTCTCATGGAAGGATGTCCTTGACAATCCATCCATGTTCAAGTGATTCTATCACTTTCATCTATCAAGCATTCATAAGGTAGGTTAGGTAAGTATAGGCCTTTCACCATAATTGTACCCATTAGACTCTATTTTCACTTAGACTTTACTCTCAAAGCCTTAACATCTATAGTCAATCATACTAGCCTTCAACATTCATAACTAGGAGTCTTCACTCTTAACAACTCTATAACATGGAAGCATCTTATGAACCTAGACTTCAAGGCACTCAACCACATTCTTCATTACTAGGTGATTCTAGCCATAATTCATCCTAAAGGTTCAATTTCAACAGTAAAATTCACAGTGAGCTTGGAATTTGGGTAGTCTACTAGGCGATCTAGGGAGCTAAAGGGTGATCCGCCAACGTGGTTGGTGAGCTGCGACTTAGCTCGCCCTTTGATCCAGAATCTAGGCCAAATGGGACATCCCACTAGGCGATCCTAAGGCACAAGGGCGACTCGCCCAACCCTTTGGGCGATCATGAAGTCCCATCGCCAAAAGGCCCCTCAAAGAACAAGGTTTCTTTCACTCCTTCTTTCTATCATAGGTCCTTACTTGCACCCTAGACTTCTTCCTTGCTCAATTAATGTCTAAAACAACCTAGACATTCACTTAAGGGTACACTAACCCACACGATGAGGCTCTAGTTCAACCTATCATTTTGTGAGTCGTTACATTTATTCTAGATCCTCATACTCAGTCATTTAGTGACCCTCCCTATGTTATGATAGTGTTGTTGATAGCAGCTAAATGATGATTTTAGATAGGAAGATACTTGTCCCTTATTTACAAGATCGTGGTATGCTCATTCTATGTAAGGTTATAAAAAGTGAAGGGATATCAAGGATCTATTATATTAAATAATTAGATAAAAAGTCTTTGTGTCCTTCTCTTGTAAAGACGTTAGGAAAGCTAATGATTGTTAGATGGGTTGTTTACCTTGAAGTCCATGAAGTAGTCATAGTGATAGGCTTAAATATTATGTTGATAACATATGAATGAATGCATTATACACTATTAGCTTCTTGATTTGAACTCAAGGTTAGTTAAATGGTGTGGTAAGAAATAGTATTCTTGAAATGGAATTCCCTACATAAATATAGGATTAGAACATTCATATTACGTGTAGAACCTTGTGACTCCATATTAGGCTTGAATGTTGTGAGAGCATGTGGTTAGACTCGGACTTGAGTAGAAGTAGTCATATGTATCCCTGTGAGGGTTATCAGTTGCAGCTAATAGAGGATAATATTCAAGAGAAGAATCGTAGTTGAAAAGTGTTTTTAAGCTTAAAAGTCAGTAGTCATATCGCTTAAGGTATAATAGAACTATTCTTACCTCATGCCTGTCAAGTAGCTTCAGATGGAGTGTGGCCCATGTTCAATCTATATCGTTCATGCTTTATGAACCCATGTTGGTGTCTCACATGGATTATGCCTTCCCTCAAAATGATAAAAGAGCTTTTTTTTCAAGTCTTATAGAGACCAATAGAGGCAAAGTTCACGACCTTGTTTATGTTCTTCCTGCCTATACTAGTTTTTACGCTCTTAGCTCATGCTTCTACATTTCTCATCGTTGATTGCTAAGCCCCTATTGTTTGTACAATTTAGTTTATACTAGGATATATAACAAAAAATAGCCCAAGAAAACCTTAGTTTCCTCTATTCACGTGTCTATTCTAGCTTTGATCTTTTTTCGAGGATAAATGATCCCAAGTAAGAGATATTGTAATGCCCCATAAGTTTTAGAAAAGATTTGAACCATCCTTCGTATGCGTATAGGTCCGGACTTGATGATTTATAATTTGTAAATTATATGTTAAGGTCCTTTACTAAGTGTAGTAAGTGTATCAGATGTGTTTTAGAGTCATAAGGTACCTCAAACACCAAGCCGAGTTCAAAGCATTTATATTGACTAAGTTTTCACATGAGTTCATATAATGGTCAACTTCAAACGACCATATATCTTACATGTAAAGAGTTAGGAGGAAAAATTTGAATAGTTTCTCATAGGTTAAGGACATTTTTTATCTAATAGGTGGAAGGAGTGCATTATCAAACCCTAAGGCAATGAATAATAATAGTATATACTTGTGAAAATAGAAAATAATTAGGAATACTTGAGGAGAACTCTTGGGACGGGAGTTATGAAAAACTTGCATGGAGTGTGTGTTTGATTTCCATTTTTTTAAATGTTTGGTTGGTTAATATGTTTGGAAAATATTTTCACTAGAAAAAAAAATTCCTTAAAAATGAGAAAAATGACCTTCCTAATGGCTAATGGAAGTAAGGAAAACAAGTTGGATAAGTGGCATTCCAAATATTTTGTCTCCTTCAATTCCACCCCATGACCATCCCATCCCCCGCCACTTTCGAAACCCCACTTCCCATCCCATCCCGCCTCCATAGTATTTTGCTAGATAATATATAAATGTTCTTGAGATAATATTTTTTTACTTACTTACCAAACACTAAAAAATAAGTAAGAAACACACTAATTTTTCAAAAAATTGTTTTTCTAGAAAATCATTTTCCGTACAAAACATTTTCTTTCATAGCAAACACAATCTTAAATATTTCCATTTCGTTTGTCTTGTATAGTCCATCTTTGACTTGTAGTCACATACGGAGTTATGAATAAAGATGTAAATTATTCATTATAATTTATAATTAATTGAAGACAACACTCTTTAAGGATATTTTTGTAAACAAATAATTTATTTTTAGAATTTATACAATGTATATTATTTTAAATATAACAAACCAAACAATCAATAAGAAATAATCTCAGCATAATTAATCCATCATAATTTATCCCAACATAATTTATTTCATCAAAACTAATCACAACATAACTTAATTATATTCAAACCAAACGACCCTGTTTTATTTTACTTGTTCTTATACTAAAAATAGACTATTATTTTTACATGTCCATATTATAAATCAAGAGTGCTTGTTTTATACTATCATTGGTATTAAATAACAACATAAACTTAAAATAGTAATAGTCAAATGTGGAGTTCCAAATCATTCTTAATAAGGTTAGTTTTATAAAATACACCCCTAATAATTTTTAAAATTTTTTTGTGTCAAATCAACATATATTAGCCAATTAAAATGAATATTTCCTCTAATCCATACTAAGTGCATTATTAGGATATAACATACCGATAAGAAAAATATTTAAGAATATAAATTAAAGGCTACTTTTCAAATGGTAGAAAGTGATGTGTACGTATAATTAATTATTCCTAGGTTGTATTCTATTTTATTGAAAATCCATTTATCATATATATATTTTTACTTCTCTATGATATAATGTTCTATGTGTAATTGTAATGTCATTTATTAAGATAATATTTTTTATAAAATTATCCCTTTATAATATATATAT